AGGGAAAAATTTATTTACAGTCTTTGTACAACCAAAGAATTTATTGAACTTGGAAATGTGGAAAACCGTTTATGATATTATGAGATTTAATTTTCATGCTACTGATTTATTGGAATTGGAAGATGATCATCCCGAAAAAAAGATGAATTTGGGGGAATATTTAAAAGTACATGGTTATTCTTCGGCATTCAAAGATAATTATTTGTTAGTGCGTTTTTAAAATTTTTTTTTTTTTTTTTTTTTTTTGAGCAAAATTTTTTTGCCGTTATTTATTATTCAAACACGTGATTTACGTGTGATCGTTTTAGCCGATGACTGCGGCAATTTGGTCTACTCCACCGGACAAATGCGCGCTCGACTTCCCTGCATTGACACTAATACAGTTTATGCATAATCATTGTTTGCTTCAAGTGTTGAATCGTATTCAATGGCTTACCGTAAAGAATGGAAGGTTAGACAACTTGGATCGTGTATTCTTCGATGAGATGAAACTAAAATAATCAATATTATTACTATAATAATTTATTCAGTCGCAAATATGTGGAAACAATTTCTCCACACATTCACAATGTACGCTTATCGACGAAAGTTACATCGATTACACGTAAACCATATATCCCCTCGGATCCCTCCTCACCACCAATCATTACCATCACAGATAGCAACGGTAGACGTGACGAGTTTGATCACGTGATCTTTGCCACACACGCCGATCAGGCTTTACAGATTTTGGGCGATCAAGCTACCGAGGATGAAAAGCGAATCTTGGGGAGTGTTCGTTTTAGTCAAAATCGCGCCGTGCTACATTCCGATCTTTCGGTAAGGTTTAATCGATATAATCTACGAAATGAAATTAACACGATTACTACAATGATGCAAATTTTTTTTTGATAGTTGATGCCGATAAATCGTCTTGCATTCTCGTCTTGGAATTACATTACTAAATCTACCGAAACTTCCGTTAATGTTGAGCAAATTTCCTTGTAAGAATTTAATTATCGTCAATCAAGTACTTGTAACTCATTTATTAAATGAAAGAAATTTCATTTTTTTTTCTTTAGAACTTATGACATGAACATTTTACAATCAATCGATAAATCAGTTTACGGACCTGTCCTTGTAAGCTTGAATCCTATTTTCGAACCTGATCCATCAAAGGTCGTAGGTTCATGGTTATACGAACATCCACAATACACACCTGCGACAATTGCAGCACAAGCTGAATTACACACGATTCAAAATCTTCCAAACCTTGCCACAACATTTGCAGGAGCCTGGACGAAATATGGATTTCACGAGGATGGGTTCACTTCAGGGTTAAAAATTGCCAAGGAATTTTTGGGTGCTTCATCACCTTTTGAAATAATTGATGCCACATATGTTAGGGGGAAACGAGCCGATTTAAGTTTTGTAGAGGCTGTACAAAAACGAATTTGGATTGGATTTGAAACATGTGTGAATCATTATACACATTTACTTGCCATATTGTGTATAATGTTGGCAGTGTTGAAGGGTTTCGTCAATTTATTATAAATGAACCGAAGAAAAAATATTTTTAGAAATTCGAACAATACAAAAAAAAAAAAAAAAGTTGGTATTAATTGGAAGTTGGAATTTTAAAATGATTATTTATTTACTTTATAACAACAAATGAAAATTAATTAATTAATTAAAATGGTTGATTTTCTATACGATAAATAAACTTGGTGATTCGAAAAAGAATCAATTTAGTAGTTTATATATGCATAAATTATTTCAATTGAAAAGTGCAATATAATTATATTTTTTTTTGTCAGATGCGAATCAAGCTATAATGCTAATAATGATTGCTAGGAAAATTTAGTTCTGGGAAATTTTGATGATTTTTATTTTAGTCAAAAAATTTCTCAGGACCCTTATCATTCCAAATGTAATAGTGCTTTCAAGTATGATAAGATAAAACAATTAAATTACCACCTTTTAAAAAGAATGAAATTTGATTAGATTAATAACAAAGAATGATACAGAAAAAAATATTATAGATCCAAATTTTAAGATAGTAAGAGCCGCATCGAACCATCTGCTTCAATGGAAGATTAGAACAATATGAGCGTAGAAAATAGTAATCATAATAGTAATAATTACGATAATTATAAAATTTTTGTTGCTAATAAAACCTTATCAAGAGAACATAGTTTCTTGATTCGTTGACATTTAAGAAAAACGCGTACGGGGTTGATCGTATTATGGGTTCATGATGTTATACTTAATTTTTTTTACACGAATATCTCTGTAACGTTTTTAATTTTAATAAAGGTATATCTCATTTGCGTTAATGGAAGTAAACGAAATTTTAACATTTCAAAAAAGTTTACGGAAATTATATGAAATTAAACAAAACACTTTCTCTTCGCGTCGCCAAATAAATGCATTATGTTTTCAAATACTCCCAATAAAAAATAATTTCTGATAAATAGTAATTGCGCCATGCGATTTTATATTGCGCGTTATGAAATAAATTTGAAAATGTAATTTATAACATCTATTACGACCATCATTTTCGCTTAATCCATTAACAACAACTTTTAAAGAATGTTAAGCGACGTTCATTTTTATAATGTTCCTTTTGGTGATATAAAATATACCTTGAATTCTGCTCCCATGTAAGGAAGGTTTTTTTTTTTTGTGAAAAGGTTTCCTTTAACGCTTACGCTTGTGATCATTTATCATAATAATAAATCTATAACGTATTGCATAAAATCAATCTTTAGCTCTTCTATATTGTCTCGGTAACCTAATGAATTTATTTTTATGTGTTTGATAAAATCTTCTAGAGTGAATCGCGTATTTATTTATACGTTTGAGTTCTTTAAGGTGCCGCAGGAATTTACCAAACTGCAATCCCGACTAAAAAAAGTGAGTTGACACGTTTTTTTTCTCTCATAGTAATGCACGAGCATCATAACATTACATTATCTATCAAATTCAGAAAATTCGAATGCTTCAACATTTCGTTATCTTCGTTATCTTGTTCGGATCTTTTTTAAAAAACATGAAAGGTTTCTAATCTAAGTTTAGAAACTTGTGATTCATAATCATCCAAAGAAGGCATACACTTTACATAAAAAAAAACACAAAATAAAAAAAAAGGTCCTTTTTTTTTTTTATTTATAAGAGAGACTCGAAAAAAATACTGTTCCTTTCATGTTCCGGTTAAAACACAAAAAAAAAAAAAAAAAAAAAAAAAAAAAAAAAATATATATATATATATATAATAAAAAATCAAAATTTTAACATGGCACCAAAGAAGAACACTACTACTACTTTTATTAACGAAAACGCTACCGAAAAAGTTTCTTATGCTCAAGCTCCACCAGCTGTTCCTCGGAAAAGAAAAACAAGAAGCATTACAAGAAAAACCGCTCAAGAGGATCTTATTACCGTAGTAGAGCCTACTCCCGAAGTGCCTACTCCCGTTGCTACTGAGAAAAGTCGAAATAGAAGCATCACGAAAAATGAAGCTGCTCAAATAACGTTCGTCGCTATGGAACAACCAACCACCGTAAAGGGTAAAGCTAAAAGAAGAAGAACCGCGAAAGGCACCGAAGTTGAACAAGTAACACTGGATGATATCACAAAAAAAACTGATCAATCAATTTCAAGTACTACTGGAAAACCTAGAGAGATAAAGATCGTAAGAAACACTGATGATGTAAGTGAAACGCCGGTTGCGATTGAACGACAAATCGATCAATCAATCTCAAATATCATTACTACTGAAAGAATCATTGATGCTGAACAAAGTTCGCCAGCTATTGTGATAAAAAAATCAACATATCAACCGTTTATAAAACCTACCGCTCTTAATGCTACGACTGGAAGAAGCAAAGGAAAAAAGACTGCAAGAATCATTGAAGTTGAACATAAACCGCCGGATGCTATCGAACAACCAGTAGATCTTCCAATTCCAGCTTCCGGAAAAAACAAAGGGAAGAAAGCTGCCGTACGATCAACGATTTCCATTTTTACCGATCAACCAACTCCAATTAAGGCTGCTGCTAAAAAAAGCAAAAGCAAAAAGCCAGCTAATGAACAAACTGGTAAAGGTAGCTTAAAATATAATAACATATCACTAGTCGCTTCCTACAATCGAGATTATACTAACTTGTAGTATTTTAGTTTTAAAATCACTTCGAAGCAGAAAACCTGCACATAACGTGAATCAGGCAACGACTGTTGAAGAACAACCCATTACAATCTCTTGTACTAATCAAGAAATTTACGCTGGAGAAAAAGAGAAAGAAATTGTTGCTGATCATACAATTACTGGTAAATCTTTCTGCTAACATTACATCTATTATTGCGCTTTGCTTTTGCCCAACGAATCGTGACTAATATTTTAAGCAATCATTGGTTGTTCAAACATTCCTAGATGCCTTTACTCAAGAAAATACTGATATCACTAATCCAGCTGTCGCCAGCACTTCTAAATTAAAGATTTATACAAGAGGAATGCACATTGCTGATCAAAATATTACCGGTAATTTTCTGTTAAAACATACCTCATAACTGTCATTACCACTGCCCAAGGAATCGTGACTAAATCATTTGGTGCCGCTTTTCAAACATTCCTAGCCGATACTCTAGAAAATAATGCTATCATTAATTCCGTCCAAGCTGTCGCCAGCTCTTCTAAATTAAGAATCGATGCTAGAGAAAAGAACGTGGCTGATCAAACGATTACTGGTAATTTGTGTTAAAACACATCACCTAATTACTATCATTGCTACTGCCCAACGAATCATGCCAATACTTAAGAAATCATTTGGTATTATTATTGCTTCTTTTCAAACGTTTCTAGCCGAAACTCAAAAAAATACTTTTATCACTAATACCGCCAAAGTAACCAGTACTCCTCGATTAACTAGAAAAATTTCACAACCCATTAGAGCTCGTTCCGCTCGTCTCGCGGTGAAAGCATTAAAAGAACGAGAGGAACGAGAGAGGTTGGCGAGAGAAGAGCTCATGAAACAAACTGAACAAACGACAGAAGAAGCCCACACAGTAAAGCGCAATGCCGAGGAAGAAATAGCCACCTTAGTAACAGAAGCTTTGGATGAAGTGCCTGTACATAAGAGAACTCGCCGTGAGCCTGAAAGAAATATAAGTCCAGCACAAGAAGATGACATTGAGCAAGCAAATATTAAACGTAGCCGAAGACGAACTAAATTCGAGAGAGAAGTTCCTACTACCAACCAGCAAATTGCCGGAAATGAATTATCGAATGCTCGTCACAACATGAGATGCGTGCCTCCCCTCGTGGCGGATCCAACGCCGCGTAACATAACGCCATACCACTGGTACTTGGCCCAATCATCGTGGCAAAATAATTCGTAATTGTTTAGGATTTAGGTATGATAATATGTTAAAAAAAAAAAAAAAAAAAAAAGTAAGACTACCTACAATACATACAAATCATATGATAAATAAGATTCTTAGAAAAATTTTAATAATAATAAATGTCAATAATTTCAAAAATGTAAAATCAAATTTTGCGACGACGCAACGCGATCAATTTGATCAATTTTCAATGAATCCAATCATTTTTAAATGATATACCATAATTAGATTAAACAAGTTGATCTACAGTCACATTATAAGAAAAAAACATTCCTTCGCAGTAAAAGATTTAATAATGAAAGAACGTTTTAACCAATTATGAAGAGGTTACTTTTTATAGCGATTGTAATTTTAGCAGATAATATTTACTTTAACGGAAGTTTTCATTACGGAATTTTCCCATAGCCACATTATCATATAAATAGGTACATTTTAAAAGGATGAAGCTTTTTAAAATAACTGTTCTTAACTATAGAACTTAATGAAATTTTATTAAGTATTTTTTTTTAAAAAAAAAACCTTTTAATGTCTGGATACGAATTTTTCACCTCAGGTGCACCAAAGCAAACTCAAGAATCAACATGGAATTTTCAATTTCGAAAGTTATTTACAATCAAAACCTTAAAGGATTTCGAAGTAGAAAAAGAAACTTCGGGTTTTAAAAGAACTTTGAGTGCATTTGACTTGATAATGATTGGCTTGGGTGGTATTATTGGCACCGGAATATTAGTTATCACAGGTAAATAAAAAAATAATATACAGTATATATTTGACTAGGATAATGAATTAAACAGCATTCGAAATCTAATTATTTCAGGACAAGCAGCGGCTACAAAAGCGGGGCCAGCTGTGGTAATTTCATTTATAATTTCTGGAATTGCTGCTAGTTTTGCGGCATTAAGCTACTCGGAATTGTCATCAATGATTCCGATATCCGGGTCCGCCTACACGTTTGTTTACGCAACGCTAGGTGAACTTGCTGCTTGGATTATTGGCTGGGATTTAATTTTAGAGTACGCAGTCGGCGCTTCAACTATTGCTGTTGGATGGTCAGGATATCTCGTTCATTTCTTTGAGAATACATTTAATGTACACTTTTCACCATCATGGACGAGCGCACCACTACTTTTTGATCATCAAACGGGCTATCTGGAACGAATACCTGGTGCTTATATCAATTTACCAGCACTTTTATTAATTATTTCTATTACGATTATATTAACTTTGGGAATCAAAGAGTCCGCTACTGTCAACAACATAATCGTGGGGATCAAAACTTTTGTGATAGTATTATTTGTTATAGTAGCTTCAACAAAGATCAACCCAAAGAACTATGACCCTTTTATCCCTCCAAATGAAGGATCCTTTGAAAAGTTTGGTGTAACTGGAATTTTATCAGCGTCAAGCGTTGTATTTTTTGCTTATATTGGGTTCGATTCTATCTCCACTACTGCTCAGGAAGCTAAAAATCCTCAAAGGAATTTACCAATCGGAATCATTAGTAGTTTAATCATTTGTACGATCTTGTATGTGGCGGTATGTGTTACGTTAACAGGAGTTGTTCCATATACGGAGTTGGATAGTCCAGCACCAGTTGCAGTCGCGATTAACGCAATGGGAATGAAATGGCTAGGTACGATTGTAGATTTTGGTGCTCTCGTTGGATTGATATCTGGTGTTCTCGTTCTTCTCGTGGGACAACCACGTATTTTTTATTCAATGGCAAAGTAAGTTCTGATCAGTATCTCGTAACATTCAACAATCAAAGTACATGTAACTTAAATCTTTTTCATTTTAATACTAGGGATGGATTGCTCTTTCCAGCAATAGCAAAACTTCATCCAAAGTTTAAAACGCCATACATTTCAACCATCATTACTGGAGCAATCTGTTCAACGATAGCATCCTTGCTTCCAATAGGCATGTTGGCAGAATTAACATCAGTTGGCACTTTGTTGGCATTCTTTTTAGTGAATGTCGGTGTGATGTTATTAAGAATTACGGCTCCTAACGCACCAAGGAAGTTTAAGGTCCCCGGGGGACCTTATGTAATTCCTATCATTGGAGCTTTATTAGATTTATTATTGCTGTATACTGCTACACCTGCTAGCTTGGAAAGATTATTTATTTGGATGGCAATTGGTTTATTAGTTTATTTCTTTTATGGCAGATTTCATTCGGTTGCCAATCATAGTAATCATTATATGAAAAATAAAGAATTAAATGAAGGGGGATAATCATTTTTTGAATTTTTTGGGTGGTTTTTAATAAATAAGAACATTTTTCTGATTCTTTTTTATTAATAAAATACATTTAATTATGTTACACGTCATAACGTGTATTTTCATTTTACAAATAAAAAGTTTTTTTTTTGTTACATTATTACCTAAATATTCTAATATGTATAATAATACTTTTTAATAAATAATTAAAACTTACAATATTATTTTCAAATAATAAAAAAAAAATAAAAATTGGAAAAAATTGAAATAAAAAATAGTCCATATATTACAAAATAAATTACAAATCGTTTATTTTCTCCAACCTGCTCCATACCATCCTTCCTCACCATTCTCCCAATCCCATTGTTCGATAGTACGATCCATAATTGGTTCCTCAACCCATTCTTCGCCCCAATATCTTAAATTCCAATATGTAGGATATTTTCTGTCTTCCTTATAAACGTAATCAACTCTACTAATAATTGAGCGTGCTTTTCTCAATCCTTCGTCGGTTACTTGTGATGGTGATGCATAACTAACGTTCAAATGCTGCAAACTATCACCTAAATATTTGGTGATAACACGAAGATGACTATCACTTACTGAAAAACAATCAGGAATGTGTAAACTTTTCAGCTTAGCTTTACAATTCTTTAATCCAATTCCAAGTTCATGTGAAGAGAATTGCCAATCTGCATTAATTATCAAATGTTCTAAGGTAGGTGGGAAAAGATAAAAGAAATTTCCTAATAAACTATCAACATGAAGAACGTTTCCAAAAATTTCCAACTTTTCCAGATTCCTACTATGACTCAACAATGTTAATAAATCTGGTAAGTCTGCCCTTTGAATCTCTGCCGCAAAATCTACAAGATTCGGACAATGTCTAGCGACCAAATCGATTATTATATGAGCGTTACATGGATCTTTAATTTCTATGGGTCCTAAATATATTGTGGATAACGTTGTTCCCGCATTTTTTATCAAAGTTGCTAAAACGTCATCATTAACGGTAGATTTTTTAAAGTTGAGTTTTCTTAAATGAGTTAATGTACTAGAAACGAACGGTTCCAAAACCTTCTCAAGACCAAAGCAATCCTCAAACGTTAACGTTTCCAACTTCTTCGATTCTGCCAAAGGTATTAATGTGGTGCATTCCGTAAAATTTACCATGACGAATTCCACGTGAACCAGAGAATTAATTTGACTTTCTAGTAATGCAGAAACGATGCGTCTTGGTCTACTGCAAGTATGAGCGACAAAATGTTCAATTGCTTTCTGCCCTTTAATTAGATTTATTAGGGAATCATATTGTTTCTCAGGAACATGCCTTTCTCCCAAAGCGCTAACTCGACCTGGACTAACGAACATTGTCTTGATATTTTTACAAACTCTGGCAGCTCCCGCGAAGATATCCGTCTTCACAAAATCTCCGATGCATATGAATTGTCGAAGTTTAGATAAACAAATTTCAGAACCAAAGTGTGAGAAAACATTAAGATGATGATTTGGAACCATAAGCATTTCGCCCGTTTCAATTGATAACTTGTGGAATGTACGGGAACAATTCATAAAAGAATTAATTAATATTTTGGACACAGTAGCCACTTGTTCTCGATAATTTTCTTCCTGTGGTTCATACCACTCCAACCATGCAGAAACTCCAATATACAAATCCAAGTATGAAAGTTGTCGCAAAAATAATGGATAATTAAATGTTGGCGTTATTCTTTTATCAGTAATCTCCAAAATTTCTTTTTCATCATCGTTAAGAGTTTGTGAATCGAGGCAATTTATATATGTTTGAATTAACTTTGAGGAAGGTGTCCTGCGTGTTAGACGAAAGGGTTGGCTCCACAATAAGGATACTGCAGTATCACTCCAAAGTCTATTAACCAAAAGGCACGAATGTAAAGTGTATACGTCTTCCTCGAAATTCTTAAAGATAAGATGTAAACAATCTGATGTTAAAGACATTTTTTTTTTTTTTTTATTATCAAAAAATTGAAAAAAAAGATATCATTCAAAATTTACGTAGGGGAAAAAGTGAACTATATTTATATCCAATTTAAAAGACAATCGGGAATGCATAATTTCGAAATATTTTTTTTTTTTTTTGACATTTAATTTCTCGTGACCGTTGTGGCAATTTTTTACTGTTTAGTACCATTCTGTTCCATTGTTTGTCTTCTGATTGTTCCATTTGATTCAAAATAGGCTTGAAATTTTCCTTTGTCCTCAATGATCTACCTGAAAATTCTCCAAAGATGGTAAAAATGTGTGATATTGTTTTAAATGGAAACTGTAGATTTACATCTACTATTTAAAGTTACGCCATACCTCGAAAAAATTTGGGGGATTTCGAAATTAATCGAATCTTCGGTGATTCGAAACTTTTTTTTTTTTTAACGATAAATACAATGGAATGTAATTTAAGCATGAAAATTATTCTTTATTGTTTTTATTTATTAAAACTTTTCAATCAAATGATGTTTAGTAAACTCAATGTGTTCATTGTTTAATAGAATAATGGTAAAAAATGGGAATTGTAATTCGTTTTTTTCATCATTAATTTTTTCTTTTTGGACGAAATTACATTTGAATATCTCAATTTTAATCAATTATATTTAAAAAATTGCATTGTCCTCACGTAATTTTGCCTAAATATGGTCATTTAATTTTACCGATTTTTCTCAAAAATTTTGATTCAGAAAAAGGAATATTGTTAAAAAAAAAAATAAACAACAAGTAGGAATGGGAAATTAACGGTTAATTAAGATTTGGTTAATTAACCATAATATATTTTATATTTTATATAAAAAAATATTTCTATATATCATAATCGTTTTTAAATGTGCAACCACTAAGGGGCGCGCCAGAAATCAGCTGATTTTTTTCACTTATAAGGCTGATCCCCTCTGATAATCAATTTGATTGGCTAAAAATTATATATACCCCAGGTGAGATAAATTATTTTTCATCCCTTATAATTTTTTTTGTATGCATTTTTTATTAACAACAATTATTATAAAAAAATAACATTTATCAATATTTGTTGTTTAAATTCTGCACCAAATAAATGTAACAATTAAAGCCAAAATATCGCAAACATGCTATTACTATAAGATTAATACAATCTCATACTATTACTAAGTGAAACTAATAAAACAACACTTTGATCTCACACTATAAACACGTGATTAATTATTGTAACCTAACCCTTAAAACAAATGCTACGATAATGATCATATTCCTCACATGCATCACACTTATGACATTTATCAGATATTGCTTGTTCGCCTCCACCTTTGCCTTTTGAATCTGATTTTTTAACAGATGGCTTCAACCGTTTTGTTAGTGATCTTCCTTTAGGCTAATGCTTCAATAGATCCAAGATCTGATTATAATTAATCAATACTCCTTTTGTATTACAAAAGACCCAATTGTCATTCATTTTTCTATCCGCTAAAGCTTTTTGTTACTTAATCGATTCTGCTTGAATTAGTTGAACTTCTTTTCTTTTATTAAAATCTTTGATAAACTGAATCAGTTCTTCATCATCATCTTGAATTGCAAATTGAATTACCTTTTTGGCTTCACCTATTAGAGTACTAAATTTTATTAAAGATATAATTCATAAATATTATGAAACCATTCCTTCTACTCTTCGCTCATATCAAAGACTTTTTCATTACATGATATAGCTTCTGGTTCTAATAATTCCAGTTACACCTGTTATATATCCACTATATTCACTGTAATACAAGAATTAATTGATACTACAACTATATCAAAAAATGCTATTTCGTAATATAATGCAGCTAAGCAAATCAATTTAACTACAAAGAATATATCTGATTATCAACAAGCATTAGAAACTATCACGAATAGTTTATTAAAAGATTTATTAATATCACAAATTACTGAACAGCAAAAAATTGTATCAGAAAAAAGTGTACAATTAAGAAAATTAAAGCATCATACTGAAGCACAAGCAAAATTTGCAACAAAGAAAAAAAAATTACTAGAAGAAAGAATTGTAGAAAAATATGACACACCAGGAAGACCACCTGCAACAATGAAGAATCCAGATTTATAGGATAAGATCCATGATTGCATCAAGTTCAAAGCTGCTCATGCTAAAAGAAGAAAAAAAATTATTAAAGTTTGTATAGTGAAACACTTACGTGAATTACTCGAAAAAAATATAATATATACTTATCTCACTAATATTTGTCAACTTATCTTTAATCCTATCACTTAAGTATTTTTACTGTGCATCATCATTATCATCTAGCAAAAGTTGGTCTTACTTCTATAGCGTGAATAGAAATGAAATCTCATATAGATGAATACTATTACCTAGCTTCTGTTAAAGCCACAAGAGTATTTGCTGAAGTTTTTACTAATGAAGTGATTATTATCTCTCAGAATAACAAAGCAAAGATCAGATTAAGCATTCCTATAGTTAGTCACATGTTCAAAACTATTCAAACTATTAATGAACCAGTTACTATTGAAGATTACAATTTTTCAGTTGATTCAAAAATAAAACTCATACCTGATTATTAATTCAGCCAATTCAAGTAATATCTTGTGAACTAGTCAACTTTTTATATTTGTTAGGCTAGAGTATTTTATTGGAACATCTTTAATAACTCATATTGCAGACTTAGAAAGCATTATTTCAAGTGAAAAGTTTTCCACTACCCTAAAAAAAGAAGGAAAAATTAGACCTATTTGAATCCTTCTTATTGATGGTGAATCTAATAAAATCTAAAGTATATGAAAAATATTATTCAATATACTCATCTTTTTCGTGCTCTCAGATTATTTGACCGTTTGCACTCAATGCTCTAGGTCAAAGTACGTATAATCCAGTAAAGCGCAGTATAGCTTCTTTATCTATAAAGCTTACTGGCATCACTTTACCTATGGGGAAGTTCAGGTCACACCTAGATAATCAAAAAATGTAGTAAACAAAGAATTAGCAAAATAGAATTTCAAATACTCTGAAAAAAAATTATGTGATATATAGCAAAGGGATGACATTCATGGTTAGCCTGTAAAAGTAGAATATGTCAATCAAGATAGGCATCTATTCAATGAGCTCAAGCCTTCGATATTGTGAAGGTGAACTGAGAATTATGTGTAGATTTGTCATTATTTATTAGATATAAGAAAATGCAAAAATCGTGAATGTTATAATAAATATAAAGCTTCAGATACAGTCATTCTTTTGAATGAGAATAATGGATTTCTCTCTTCAATTACAAAAGAAAAGGACAGTTATTTTATTAACCCAATTCACGCTCTTCAATATTATAATAAACTCAAAATTCTAAAGTATAATAGTAGTTATCCTTTAATTTTGTGAGAACTTTACCAATATTTGTATTGTAATATATACGAAAAATACTTTTTAACCTTCAAATTCATGAATAAATATAAGCGAAATATGCATTCTAAATATTGCAAAAAGAAGAGAACCTGAAAACTAGCTGACGAGACAAAAATAGATTGTATATTTGTTTTGTTAAACCTAAATTTTAATGTTACTAAAGATATAAATCTAGGAAGAAATTTGTGATGAAAGGTTGAACAGATTTTTTGTAAAGTTCAATTGAATGTAGATTGATTTCTACTTGAAAAATTGTGGCTTATATGTAATTTTATGATGATCACAATATCATTATTAAATTTGTTGATTATATACTAATAAATTAATTTTCTCCGCTTAGATGAAACTCGTCGATTAACTATATAAAAATTTAAATATGTAATAACATAATACTTAAATAAAAACTTTAATATCCATTTCATTATTTAAAGATCTTAAAAAGATTTTAGAATGAAGTGGCAGAATATAATATTATTAATAAATTAGATTCTATAATAATTATATAATATGATATGTAAGATAAAAAGCTAACTAATCATCTCATATTAAATATATCACGTGATCATAACACCTAATATATAATACTAAACCTTTACTCACTTTTTAAATCAGCTGATTTCTGGCCCTTTTCTAACTTTATACAACCTTATAGGCAACCTATAAACTTGAAAATGATGAAGAATTGAAGCAGTGTATAAAAAAATAAGCATAAAATGGAAATATAGAAACTATACTTGTTAATAGTAATAAAACCATATATTGTGAGTATATTTCAACCATTCTTCATATTCTACTCTATACCATTAAAAGAATAACTGATAAAGAGCTCTTTAGTTAAAGAAAAGCATATTAGTCAGGTTGATTATGCAATTAAGATTCTTGAAAAACTTATTTGTATAAAGAAAAGAAATTACATCAAGCGATCATATATTTTACTCAAAATTTAATCCAATGCAAGAACACTTTACAAGTTAATAAAGAATAGAAATGTAAATTAGGTGAAGCATTTGGGAAAGACTTTGACTATATATATTTTATTCTTTTCACCTCAGATGGAATATTAAATAAGTAAAGATTTTTTCAATATTTGATTTTAGAATCTGATTTGAAAAAAAGATCAGAGAAAAAAAAAGATTTGCGTAAAAGTATGAAGCAGATTATAAAAATCATAGTTAGATTATTGAAGAATAAATTAGTATATATATAAATAAAAAATATAGAAAAAGTGTTAGAATAAAGAGTTACTATTTGAAAAAAAATCATATATCTACCTTTAAAAAAGTATCTGGTTAAGCTTTTTTAAATTTCTTAAGATTAGATATATTAACTAAATAAAATTTTTTTAAATAATTCCTTTAGTTTTAATAATAATATGTATATATTTATATTTATGTAATAATATATATATTAGGTTTAATTAGAGCTCCAAATTAAATCAGGTCAACCTGTTTACCTGACCTGACCTGACCTGACCTGAAAATCCAGATCAGGTCAGTAGATTTTCAGGTTAATATCAAGTCAGGTCAACAGGTTAACCTGATCTGATCTGACCTAATAAAATTCAGATCAACCAATCATTATTCTTGAACAATATTTTATTGTTCAATTAGAACGATTCGTTATCATTCTTGAACGATAGTTTTATTATTTGAGAATGATGTTTTTATCATCTGAAAATGATGTTTTATTATCTAAGAATAATGTTTTTATTATTTGAGAATGTTAGTTTTATCGTCCAATTAGAATGATTCATTACCATCTGAAAATGATAGTTTTATCATTTATGAATGATGTTTTTATTATTTAAGAATGATATTTTATCATTTATTAATGATAGTTTTTTGTTCGAGAATGATGTTTTATCATTCAATTAGAATGATAGTTTTATCATTCTTGGTGATGATTTAATCATTCAAAAATAATGTTTTATTATTCAAGAATGATGGTTTTATCATTTAAGAATGATGATTTTATCATTTAAAAATGATATTTTATCATTCAAGAATGACAGTTTTGATAATAATTTAATTATATTTTATCATTCAAGAATGACGACTTTATCATTTAAAAATGATGATTTATCATTCAAGAACAATGATTTTATCGTTTGAGAACAATGATTTATCGTCGTTTGAGAATGATGATTTTATCGTTGTTCGAGAATGATAATTTTATCATTGTTCGAGAATGATAATTTTATCGTTATTCGAGAATGATAATTTTATCATTTGAGAATGATGATTTTATTGTTTGAGAATGATGATTTATCATTTAAAAATGATGATTTATCATTCAAAAATGATGATTTTATATTCAAAATGATGTTTTATCATTCGAGAATGATGATTTTATCATTTAAAAATGATTGTTTTATTGTTTGAGAATGATAATTTTATCATTCAAGAACAATATTTTATTATTTATAGACGATAGTTTTATCATTCAAGAACAACCTTTTAATAATTTATAACAATAGTTTTATCATTCAAGAATGATGTTTTATCGTTCAAGAACAATGATTTTATCATTTAAAAATAATGTTTTATAATAATTTGATCAGATCAGATCAAGTCAGATCAGGTCAAATAAAAATTTAAATTAGGTCAGATTTTTGTTTGACCTGATCTGATCCTCTCAGTTCAGGTAACTTGATTGATCTGATCTGAATCAATTTGTTTAGAGCTCTAAGTTTAATAAATAAAAATATAAATAACATTAATTTTACTTTTTTAAAAACTGTATTATTTAATATGAAAATTATCACAAATTAAATGACTTTAAATATAAACAAATTATTAGTTTAAAGTTAGTAGAAAGGACTCACACTTTTAGTCGAAACACTTTAAATGTTTATATTCTGTAATATTTACATAAAATTATAGATGCAGTTGTATAATTTACTATTTATAATATTTATGAAATATTATGATTAAAAAATATTGCAAGTTTTATAGTTTATAAAGTTTATGAAATATTACAATCAAAGTTTATCACAAAGTTTATAATCTATAATGTTTATACAATGCAAAGATCAAAGTACTTTGCAAAATAATCATAATTATTAAATCATTAAGTTATGTGAAATTATTTATAATATTAAATAAATTTACTTACAGCAGCTGTTAATATTTGCTACAACTATAAATAATAATTTAATTTACCAAAAAAAAATAAAAAAAAAAGCTAAAAAAAAAAATAATTAAATTAATAAACATTTATTTTAATTAATTAAATTAAACTTATTTAAATACTAACTATTATTAAAAAATTCAAAAAAATATTAAAATTAAATTAATACTCTTATTTATTAAAAAAATTATAAAAAAAAAATTAAATTAAAAAAAAATAATTAATTAAATAATTAAAATATTAAATTAAATCCACTTACTATAGATACTACTAATAATCAATTTTAAAAGAAATCTAAAAGTTAAATTAAATAAATTAAAATAAAAATTAAATAAAATAAATAGAAAAAATTAAAATTATAAATAATTAAATCTATTTATTCAAATGCCAATTATTTTTATTAAAAAAAAATCTAAAAAAAAAATTAAATAATTAAATAATTAATAAATTAAATATTTAAATTAAACCTACTTACTATAGACACTACCAATTATATTAAAAGAAATCTAAAAAAAAATAATTAAATAATTAAATAATTAATAAATTAAATATTAAATTAAATCCACTTACTATAAATTAAAGCTTTGAACAGTTCAGATTAATTCAAAGATTTTTCAGATCAGTTTAGTTCAGATCAATTTCAAATTGCATAAAAATCGATCTGAAAATTTTCAGTTCAGTTCAGAATTTTTTGATTATAATTCTAATCTGAACTGAAAAAATCTGAACTGAACTGATAATTTCAAATTATTCCAAAAGTTTAGTTCAATTATATATGAAACTCTTGGAGGATCACAAATTTGCAAATTTTCTAAGAGGATCACAAAAATTTAGCAAAACTCTTAAAGAATTGCAATTTTTTTACAGTTTCTCTTTAAATTTTGCAAAAAAATTGCGAAAACCTTAGAGAATCACAATTTTTTATGATTTCTCTTAGAATTTTGCAAAATTATCACAAAACTCTTGAAGAGTCGCAAAACCCTTGAAGAATTACAATTTTTACAATTTCTCTTAATATTTCGCAAAAATATTATGAAATTCTTGGAGATTCGCAAAAAATTGCGATTTCTCTTCAAATTTTGCAAAAAATGCAAAAATCTTAGAGAATCACAAATTTTTGCGATTACTTATTGAATTTTGCAAATTTTTGCAAACCTCAAAGAGAAATTTGCGATTTTTTATGATTTTCCTAGAGTTTCGCATATAAATTGCGAATTTTTATATAATTGAACTATAATTTTAGATTAATCTAAAAATTCCAGTTCAGTTCAGATTTTACTGATCTGTGATTCAGTTCAGATTTGAATTAGCATTTTTAAGATTAATAATCTGAATTGAATTGAACTGAAATTTTCAGTTCAAATATGTATTGACATCTAATTCAGACTGAATCAAACTGTTCAGCGTTTTACTATAGATACTATTAATAATATTAAAAGAAATCTAAAAAAAAAATTAAATTAAATTAAATTAAATTAAATAAAAAAAACAAAATTAAATTAAATTCACTTACCAGCAGCTGCTAATTTTTTGGTGTAACAATTTTATTTATTAAAAAAAGCTACAATTTTTTTAAAAAAAAAAATTAAATTAAATTAATAAAAAAAATATTAATTAAATTAATAAAATAAAAATTAAATTATATTAATTTAATATACATAGTAACCACAAGTGTAAGTAATAATCTACCAAAAAAAAAAATTAAATATTAAATTTAAATTTAAATAAATAATAAAAAAAATTAATAAATTAAACCTAATCCTTTACTGTAAAATCACCCAAATATTTCTATAGAAAACAATTAATAATAATAAATAAATAAATAAAAAAAAAAAATAACCTACTTACAACTTTGTTAAGAAAATTGTTATTACAAATTCTAAAATAATATAACTTAAAAAATAAACAAATAAATAAATATAAAAAAAAAAATTTAAAAATGAAATTAATTAAATTTAAATAAAAAAAAATTAATCCTAACTAACTTTTTATTACAAAACCGTTAATTAATATTAAAAAAAAATTGATAAAAATAAATTAAAAAAAAATAATGTTGATTTAGTCTGAAGACTAAAATTTTAGGGGAGAAAATTGAAACTGACAGAAACTGACAGACTTGTCGAATATGACATATATGCTAAATATGCCATATCTGCCAAATAGGACATACATATTATTTATTATATTTCTATTATTTATATCATTATTATTATTTATATCATAATTAGTATATCTGTTAGCTTTGTTATTATTGTCAGTAATATCATAATTATCATAGATTTTCTTTAATTGTAATTTTCTTATATAAAGGGCATGAAAATGTCTTGAAAAAGGATAGATTCTAATAAGATTCTAACATTGTATTTAATATACATTTAATAACAATAATAAACAATCAACATTTTGCAAATATAAAAACTTATAATTTATTTCTTGTTAACTAAATAAATTCTCTAATAACTAGCATGTCAAGTTGATTGAATTTAAGTCATAGCTATTGTCTCCCTGACCTCAAATTATAGTTAACTTATTTGATGAAAAGAGTAACGTTAACACTGTAAATCAGCTTAGTTTTCAGATGTTCTTCTATCAGGTGTTGAAGTGCCTATATTGAATGTATTTCTGTTCATTTTTAATACGTTTGAAGACTTTTGAGAGTTTCTCTTAGAAGTTTCTCTTGAAATACTTTTAGAGTTAGTTTCTGATTTTATTGATGTTTCAAAACTCCTAATAATCAAATTTCAGATAATTATTTCAAACACTTTTTAAATCTGCAAGTGATGTTTCTAAAGGTTCCTGATTAAGTGGTTGGTATTTAATTAATTATATAATCAATTCAAAGCACTTTTCTAATGCTTCTGAGATTTTTTCTAATGTAAGTACTTTTTTAAAAACTCTAATAGTTATACTATTAAACTATTTTCCTTTTATTACATAAACTATTCAAAAATACCAAAAATTCTCAAATGCTTCTAAAGATTATTCTGTTATCAGATAACATTCAATACAAGATGAATCTGGATTACTTATTATTTCTTGTTTATTTTTCTATAAATGTGCTATAGTATATTTAATAATCCTTTGATTATATTCCTTTATACTTATCATTAACTATTTTGTTGTTTATATATTCAAATACTTTCTCAATAGTTAGTCTCAATTTATGAAATCTAATAAAATCCTTAATATTATTAATTTTCTTTTAAATACATTAAATTATTATAAAGGTACTGGTTTATCTTCATTAATGCTTTCAAGCAAATTCTTTAAAGTTTTCAATTGTAACTTCATTGCAATGATTGAGATATGTATAAAGGTTTAAGATAGATTTTGACATTAGATATCAATCGATTTTAATTTGCAATTCTTCAATTTCTCTCAATTTTTTAAATTCCAATTTTTGTTTCATCTAATCCCCATCAAATTTGTTATACAAGTCGATTGTGAAATCTACTGACTGAAAAATAGACTTTAATATATATAGCAACATTTTAAGTATCTGAAAAATAATAATTTAAGTTAACAATCCCAAAATCTTATTTGTGTCAATAGAATTTTCAATACAAATTACTACAATCAATATATACGTTTATATAGAAGAGCTATAATGATAGATTAGATTTTATGTTATGAGTTTAACTAATTAAAGTTATAAGGTAAAAAAGGTTGGTTTTATTAATTAGAGAAATTGGGGTCAATATCATTTAATAATTTAAATAAGCTCTTGTTCGCGAACTTACAAAATTAAAGAATAAATAATAAACTAAATTATATCAAAACTGTATTAGAAAAACTATCTAATAACTAATCTCAAGACTAACTAGCTTAACTAACTAACTGTAAACTATCTCTAAAACTGACTAAGACTGACTGTAAACTAGAGGTATGCTTCAAATCTGATCAATCCGGATATCTGGTCATCTATCTGAAATTTGACCAGATTCAAATTGATCCATTTGTATCACAGAATTAACTGAATAGAAACCAGATTTTTTGATCAATCTAATGACGTGTTTTAAAATACAAGGCCTTTGATTATTGCCATTTTTGAAAACTGAGTTATACAGATTATACAGAGTGTCAAGACCGCGAAAATTAAAAAACAGGAAATAAATTTTTTGTGGAATGGTAATCACTAAAAAAGGAAATAATCAGCATTATAGTTGTATAAAGCGTTAAGAATACGGAAATTTAAAAATAGAAAAAATTTTTTTGTAGAACGGCTATCATCAGAAAAGGAAATTGATCAATATATTGCGCATATAGAAATTAAAAATCATGTGATTTTTCGTAATTTTTATAATTCCGCCTTAAATTTATATTTTCAACCAGAATTATGAAAATTGACCAGATTATACCGAATAATTTGAAATCTGATGAATAGAAATTTGAATAATCCAAAATTTGACTAGATTGGATGACAGATTGATCAGATTTTACCAGGCTGATCTCTACTGTAAACTAACTGGAAATTAACTGATGAGAATATATAAAATTTCTATCTTATTTATATAAAACTTTAGATCTAATTTTATTACTAAATTAAGATAAAGTACAACTTAATAAATTATAGAAACATTGTTATCTTAATTAACAAGTTTAACTAAGTAAACCATATTAATTATATTAACATATTTAATTTCATTTTTTTTATTATTACTGATCTAACTATAAGTTATAGCTAATTGCATCTACGAGAATCAAACATTAGACTCTAAATTACAATAATGTCATTTGCTTATTACTCTTATAAGTCTATTTCAACCATGTTAAGTGTATTTAAAAATCAGCTCTAACATATATTACTCTTAGAGAAAGATCCTAACTGAAAGCCTCCATAGATACATCAGTTGGCATCCTAATATACCAGATATTTAGCTGTACTACTGGATAAAGGGATTAAGTAAGATACTCAATTTCAGATCTATAAAATGTATTAAACCCACTATACTGTTAAATAATTCAGGAATTGAACCTGACCTCTTCCTCTAGCATTAAGCTTAGACACACGTATAGCTGAAGATAGTGCAAGATCAACTAACTGAAACTTATAACTTTTTACATTATTGCTTTACATATCTACTATTAGATGCTACTCGCAGGCTAATCCTTTGCAGACAATGCAACACTTGCCCATTACAGGCTAGCCTATTGTATTAGTTTCACTTTTCACAGTGATTTCAAATGGGTTCATTAACTATAACCTTTACCTATTATTAGAAAGGCTTGAGATGCAGAAATGTCATACATAGATAGCTTTAAGGGTCATCATATTCTACAAATTTGCAATTTATTCACATATATAGTTTGCACATACCTTATGAAATTTATTCCTAGAATTAAACTAATAAAACTTACAGTAAATTAATAATACAATTTACACTTGGCTGATACTAAACTGAAATCTATTATAGTATAATCTACAATAAGGACTCGTATCTTACAGTTTGAGCTAAGATCATCAATCCTTTTAACATATTTAATTTCGTTAACAACATTTTTTTTTGAGTTACTGATCTAACTATTAGCTACAGCATATTTATCAATAGAGACAACTATTAGACTCTGAATTATGACTGTTAGCTTGCTTACTATTCTCATAAGTCTATTTTAACTATATTAAGTGTATTTGAAAACCAGCCCTAACATTTGTCACCCTTAGGAAAAAGACTTCAACTAAAATCCTCTATAGACACATCAGTTGGTATTCTAGCATACTAGATATTCAGCTGTTTTATTAAATAGAGAGATTAAGTAAGGTACTCTATTTTAGGTCTATTAAATATACTAAATCTACTATACCATCAAATAACTCAGGAATCGAACCCAACTTCTCCCTCTAATATAGGGTTTAAACATATATATAGCTGAAGACAGTGCAAGATCAGCCAACTGAAACTTATAATTTGTGTTATCATTTTACATGTCTACTATTAGATACTACTTTTAGGCTAACCCTTTGCAGACAATGTGGCACTTATCCATTACAAGCCAGCTCCTATTGCATCATTAGTTCCATCTTTCACAGTATTTCTAAATGGATCCACTAACTATAATCTCTATCTGTTATCAGGAAGGCTTGAGACACAAAAATGTCACATATAGGTAGCTTCAAGAGTTATCATATTCTACAAATTTGTGATTTATTCATATGTATAGTTTGTACACATCTCATAAAATTCATTCCTAGAATTAAACCAGTAAAACTTGCAGTAAATTAATATTACAATCTGCACTTGGCTAATACTGAACTGAAATTTATTGTAATATAACCTACAGTAGGGACTTGTATCTTACAGTTTGAGCTAGGATCACTAATTCTAATTTCATTAATGATATTTTTTTTTAATGATATAGTACTATTATAAGTTTATTATATTTACACTCCCCTGAAGAAAGTATCCGGGCACGGCTTTTTGCGAATTGTAACTTAATTATATTATGTTTTTAAATAAATTTTTATATAATTATAAAGTGCATGTTCCTGTAAATCTATTGGCTACATT